TGTCTGTGTGTCTGTGTCCGTGTGTCTGTGTCTGTGTGTCTGTGTCTGTGTCTGTGTCTGTGTGTCTATGTGTGTGTGTGTCTGTGTCTCTGTGTGTGTGTGTCTGTGTCTGTGTGTCTATGTGTGTCTGTGTCTGTGTCTCTGTGTGTGTGTCTGTGTCTGTGTGCTCCCGCACACACTCCCCGCGGCTCCGGGGCTCCGAGCGGGTGCTGGTGTGCCGGGCTCCCGGCGGGGGCCAGAGGGCTGCGGTGGCTCTGCTCCGACCTCGGCAGCAGGGAAGCTCAGGGCAGTTTGCTTGAGTGACACGAGAGGGAAAATCCGAGAGCTGCGGACTGGAGAGCCTTTTCTGGTGAAACGCGAGCAATCTCCAGCACTGCAATAAACAAAATAACAAACAAGGGGAGGTGGACACGTAGATTTTGACAGTTTGAGTTAATAGAGTCTGGAGGAACATAGCTGTTTGTGCCATCAACTCAGCAAAGATTTCTGAAGGAAACCTTCTGTACCTAGAGCCAAGTGCAATCTAGTTAAAAAAAAAAAAAATCCTGGAAGTAAATTGCCTTAAGTCGGGGAGGAGAGAATACATCTCATAGAAGACAAAATGTCTTCAACTGACTAATTGGAACAACATATTAAGCTGTGACACAAAAAGTCACTGTTAATTTGGCTGGGGCCAAGCAGTGCATTCCCTCCTCTCAATTCTATATTTCTGATTTTCCAGACAGCTGGACCTGTGTTTCCCCTGCATGGGCAGCTGCCCCCTACAACAGCATCCTTTGGTGTCCTGATTCCCTGTAAAGCTCCATCCAAAGCTTATCAGACTAAGAGTCCATTTTTTCTTTCATCATCTCTCAACCTTGAATTTACCTCACCATCGGTGGACTCAGATGTTTTGTCATTTCTGGAGCTGCAATTGCACTACAAGATTAGGGCAGAAAAAGAATAAAGAGAACTGTTTCACATGAAGAGGACTTCTAGATTTCCATTTCTTTTCAGATGCACAGAGCACAGGGAAGTGCCTATATGCTGCAGGAAGCTCGGGGCTGTTATGAGGCTCAGGGGGTGACTGGCCTATGTAGGCAGAACTGTTCTTCCTTGAGGGCTAAATCTACTTGTTTTGGAAACTGCTGATATATGTGAACTTCAGGGGAGATACTAATTACATTTCATGTAGATGTGGTTGCTACTTGAGCCAAATTCTTATTTACACTGGAGTAAATTTTGTATATATATTAAATACCAGAGAGGTGGGAAGAATTGTTAATGAAAATGGGTACCTAGTTGTTCATCAACACTGCCTCCACATGTACATTTCATCCCCTGAAACAAAAAATCCAAGTTAAGCCTGTCACAAATATCATATTTTCTTACACATTCCTTCCTCTAACTATATCCACAAGCAGATTGTCCATCAGTGCTGCAGGCAGCTTGTGACAAACTGCTGTTTCAGTAATTACTGAGGGTCTGTATCACATTTGTGATGCTGTTCACCGGAGGGGGGTTCAAACCTAGAAAGACAGGCATCATCACTTTTCTTCTGAAGCTGAGACCAAGACTGAGTCACTGGGCTGGCCACTGACTGGCTCAGCAGATCAGCAGTGGCACCAAACATATTGTATTTATTGAATATTATGAGGGGAACAATGAGCTGTAGGATGGTAACAGCAGTGATACAAAGGGAGCTAGACAGCACTGGATAAGGAATCCAGTCAGGTATCGGCCAGTCACCAGGATGAGTATATTTATAACAAAGATCATTTGAGGGTCATAATTGGGACATAAAGGGAATCTGCTTTGTTTGCACGTCATCATCACCATTGTTCAGCACATCTTTAGGGTACAAAAATGCTCATGTATTTTTCCAAGATTTTACTAAAAAGAACGTTTCTCTTTTTGCACATGGTGACTTCTTTATTCTTTTATCAAGTAAGCTGGGAGTTCTTCATTTAGGTTATGTAAAATGTTTACCTATGGAGAAGCTTACCTGCATTCAATGACTCTGCACCACACCATTTTTTACAGGGTCAGCAAAATTCTTAAAGGCTGGAGTGTAAAAATTGTGTTGCACTGCATTTGTGCATTGCCTTTCCTTTATCCAGAGAAACTCACCTCACTTGCCTCCGTCCTTTTGCATAGTAGGTTTTATTTACAAATTGGCAGTAAAGTGCTGTAGTCTCTTTGACAGTTTGCAATTAATTGCACACAATCTGTTTAGGCTTCAAGATGCACCGTTCATAAATGATGATATATTCCAAAAGGCAGCCCAATTGGCTGCTTTGCATATTGCATATATTTTTCATATTTCTGAGACAGGACATATGCAAAATCATTTTACTGTGGCACAAACACAGGAAAGATTATTTGAAAGAAAGGCCAGAGGCCAGAGATTCTGTATCTAATTCTTTCACTCACCTGCTGCAGACTGTGGGTAAGTCATCTAATATTTCTCTGCCTTTCTTCTGCATCTGCACAAGGTTGTTTATTCTTCTAAGAACTGGAATTCAGTGAATGAAACTGTAATTTATTATTATTAATACATTCCAATAAATGATTGCAGTGCTTTAGCATTGCTTTGAAGTCAGTCAAGTATAAAAGAAATAGAGAATTGTAAGAAACGGCCGTTCAGTCCATCTGATACGTGTGCATTGAAATGCTTCTTGTGGAATGACCTCCTCTGACCAAGAAGCTGATACAGGAGTATGTGCTAAATGGATCCCAGAGTCTTGAGAAGCTTCGTCTCCTTTCCCTTATCTTGTGTAAAGAGTGACATGAGTCATGTGGCCCAAATCAGTAAAAGCAACTTTTATGACATAAAGCATTAAAAAATGCCAGTAAATATCTCATATTGACATCATACTTATCACCATGCTTACAAGAAGCTCCCACCTATTTTCATTTTTCTCTCTTTCCTCCCACCCTGCCTTCCTGTTTTGAATTAATGGACAACTCCCAGAAAAGCAACATACACTTTAATGATACATGTAGTACTATAATTGAATCAAACTACTTTGATTCCCCAAAATGCTATTCTTTATTTGCTGGCAGGCTACTTGTTTGTGATCCTAACATTGTCAGTCACATCAGGAAAGCCTTCTTAGTCATAAAATATCTACTGCAGAGGAAGTACTATTGGTTCTATATGGGGCTTTTTAGCAGTAATTATGTACAGCTTTTAGTAATTTTGAGTCACCCAAGCATCATTGATAACAAACCATTTGCAATGACATGCAATGATGCCTACACAATATTTTTACAAGCAAAATAAAATAAGACATTTTGGTGGTAACATGTAAATTAGCCTTGAGGCTTGCAATGTAATGCTCATCAAGTGTGTAACATTTAATTACAAGACCACTGAGCATAAGTGAGATCCCCTGAGCTTTTCATCCCTACAATAGAAAGATTCTCCCACTGAACTGACAATTTGGATCCTCTCATCAGATGTGGAATGAAGTTGCTCATCTCTCAGCAGGCCAAACTGGCTTTTAAGGGTCTGATGTCTTTCAGGACCCTATTTAGTAAAGTACTTCGTGTTATTGGTGCTTGAGGTACCTTGTTGAATCCCATCTGCAGGGAACTGAGAACAGCAGGCACAAGGTATAACATACCATTAGCCCATAATCAGAGGGATTTGCACCTAAAGTAGAAGAGCTAAGTCTGGGCCATTCTGATTTCTACCGTAATAAACAAAATTCTACTATACTTTAGGAGTTACTTAAAGTGCAGTGTCTTCATACTGGTTGCTTTTGACATACCCAAATGTACAGCAGCACAGAAAACTCCAGTGATTCTGTGTTCTGCACTGAATTAGTGCAGTTTGCATCCACTTGTGCATGGAAGCATAGATTAGACCTTTCATTGGGTCTAGCCTACATCACTAGCACAAACAAACCTAAAATATTATTTGTCTCAACCTTTACATCTAGATACTTCTGAAAAGGTAGTGATTGCTTTGTTGGGGTCCAGGTTTCAAACTAGGTGCCTATTTTCTTCACCTTGACCTCTGAAATTCACAGGGTGGCTGGCGTGGCCAACAAGGGAGAAATGCCCCAAGCCAGATAAAACACACAGACATAACTCCTCCAAGCCCATTTAGGCCTATATAACTGCCTGTCCTCTGCAGATAGCTTGCAATCCTTTTGTTGGGGCTGCCAGTGGAGATGCCTGGGGGTCCACTGACAAAGCAGAGGACTAACAAGTGCCTGAGAAGATGCACGTTCTGTCTTTGATGAGCTACTCTAAAAAAGCAAAGTAAAAAAAAACCCAAACCCAACAAACAAAAAACTCCCTAACACAACAGAAAGACAAAGGGCAAAATATACAAATATGATAGAGTAAACTATATAACAGTGTACTCTTGCTCAAAATTTTAAGGGCTTCCACATTTTTGATTTTTTAATACTTCAATCTGACAAAATTAATATGTAAAGAGGAAGGCAAGTTTAAAGTGTTTGATTACAAAAATTGATTGAAATTAATTGAATTAACTTCTTGATTACAAGAAGCAAACAGAAAGCTATTTCAAAATCCAAAATGTATGCAGTTTTCCAGTAAGTTTGGGAGAGAAACCATTACTCTCTAGGTTTGCTGGAGATAGGAGTTTCATTTTCAGTATCTGTCCAATATAGCAAATTTATTTGATAACTTACTTGTTACAGACAGCATTATATGTGTATTGTCCCAGTTCTCTAGATCCTGGAAAATGAGAAGCCTGAAGAACTGGTAAGGAATATGACTCGATCTGAGACAGCTACTGTTAATGTTCTGAAATGTCTTGCCTTCCCAATATTGAAGTGTTACCTTTTTATGCAAATGGTAGTCACAAAAGCATGTTCAATCTATGCTATTTCATGATTAGTATTCGCATGTCCAATCAATAAATCCCCAGAGTGTCTCCCTGAAATGGCCATGTTGCTCAGTCTCTCCAGTAGGGAGGTCTATTTAGCAGCAAACCAAAATGTGGAATCAATACCTTGAGAATAATCTACCCACTTGTCCTTATGAAATATTTGTATTTTTCCATGCAAGTTCTGACAGACCAAATGACTTTTCCAATATGTAAGGGTTTAGTGCCTTGTATGGAAATGCATCAACTACACAATTGCCAGCACATCTGAGAGGATCTCTCAAGGTCACTGGTGAATGGACTGAAGAGCTTCAATAAAACTTAAAAGTCATACAGATACAGAACACTCACCTGAATGGTTATAAACTGCCTGTGAGCTACTACAATTTGTAGGTGAGGCTAATCTGGGTAGGACATGGAGCTTTCCTCTCCTGAGCTCGCTGCACACAGCTTCTGTTACATGAGACAGAAATGGAACACCTCTCTGCTGTATGCATACCTTCCCTAGGGAAGGGTCACTGATGCCAGCTTCCTTTTTCACTTGTTTTTACCTGCTGCATGGTTTGCAGCCCAGTGCAGTACAGGACAGCAGCCACTCCTCAGTCTGTCCCTTGAGCAGAGAGCAGGTGCAGGGGAGCACCTCTGCATTCTGTCCCCCAGGTATCCCTCTCTGGTTTTAACTGTACCATGAGACCATTTTTTCCTTTGAAAAGTAAATACAATAACATTGTTATTAATAATTTTAATAATAATGGTGATTTAAGAAGACTTAAAAGTTATTCACAATTACTTTCTTTTCTTGGCTCCTTTAATATAGTCACAAGAATACAGTAATCTCCACATGTCTCTTCTGATCTGGAATATATCTGTTCTCATCCTGGCTTTCAAAAGGGAAGCCCTCAGCAAAGGGTCTGAGGTTACATTTTCATTTTTAGCTTGGTTTCCTAAGGAAATGAGGGTCATGCCATTACTGTCTGTCTGTCTGTTCTTATTTTTCTGTTGTATTGCCTTACAGGAACCTTTGAGCCTGTCAGTCAACCTCAGTCAGAGTAAAAAATCTTTGTAAGTCTCAAGAATAAATACATGCCTGTAAGACTTCATGGACACTTTTGGTTGGGGAGCAGAAGGACACACAAATTAGAGCTTTTGCTGAGCAAAGGTGAGGGAAACACAGCCAGTGCCATCTGCTTGGCAGCAGCTGATGGACAAACCAAGACTGGCCACTCAGCAGCATGAGGATAAATTTGGACAAGCCAGAGCAGAGACAGCTTCTTGGCTGGCAAGGGTGTAACAGTGACCCAGCTGCTCCCATGAGTGGGAGGCTCCCAGGAGTGCAGGGCACCTCTCCCTCCCAGGCACATCTCTAGTTCTGTGCTTCACAGCTGCAATTACAAGTCTGTCATCAAGTTCTGCCTTCCCTGCCAAAATAGTCAGGATGTTTTGCAGATTACACACAGCAATACCATTCCTGTTCTAGAGAGATTACAATTTAGGGCTATAATTTATGTTCAGTCCTAAAACCTACTAGCTGTCTAAATTTTTAGTTACAAACTGGAATATAACCTCACTGTATCAAAAACATCCAGCTGTTCTCAGATAGGGTCTGATCCTTTATTTAGTGCAGCTGAAGTAAAGCTTTCCCTGAGTTAGTGATGCAGGACCAAACTTGGGCTGTGCTGCCTTGTATTTGATTAGCAGCACTTGACAGGATAATGTAAGTGCATTGGTTGTATGTACTTCATATGCAGCAGCACTGTGTGGCAGGCAGAAGTAGTGAGAGAAATCCCCACAAAAATAATTAAAAAAATGAACGACCAATGACAGCTAAGAAAAAAAAGCACCATGGAAATCCTAAAAAATCAATAGATTATGAAAGGTACTCTGAGGCTTCCACTGCTATAATCTCAAGGCTTTATTATCAAATATCAAAAAATCATTACTGCAATATCAAAACATTCATAATAACAATATAAAAACTCCACTCAATCTGTTCCTGCAGGGATCTGATCTAAAATCCACAAGAAAAAAAATACAGTTGCTGTGGAAATGGCAGCTAGCCAGTTCAATCAGTCTGCCAACCTGGTTCTATAATTGTACACTAGCCACTGCACCTTGGTGCCACCACTGTAGATAACTTCAAAAGAAGTGCTCAGGCAAACAAACTGTAACTAAATCAGATAAGATATGAAATCTTTCAGGAAAGCTCATAACTGCTGTTATCAGGTGAGCTATTTGTGGCTTCGTGTCTTTTTATCCATAGAGTAACAGATTCCCTATCGTTTAGAAATTATAACTTAAACACCCTGGCTTGCATCCTCCTGCAAAAGATCAGTTCTTCCAACTTTAATGTTCTCCAGATTGCCTTATTTCAAAAGCAAGAGTCACTCCAGATTGCATGGGAAACCTTCATCTTTGCTGCCTGTGGGAATGAAGTTTTAAGAATAACAGGTTTCTACATGGAAGAGTTCTTTTGTTTGAGAATAATTCTGTACCTTTACTGATTACTTATGCATAATATTTTCAGAACTCCTTTTGGAACCTACATACAAATAGAGCTTGTAGTTCATAATGGCAGTATTTGGCAGGGAGTGCTGGGGGTGAATGTCATTCTCCATTTTCTAGTATAACAAAAAAAGAAAAGAAAGCTTTCTGGTCCAATTTGTCCAGAGTGATCTGCTTCATTCTTCACACTTGAAACCCCAAGTCCGACCTGAGATTTATAACCCCACTCAGCTCTTTACTGTGCACCTTTATTTTTAACAGATTTATGGAAGTCTCCTGTATTTGGGGACAAATCATAAATACATACTAGTAACAGATGTCTGTCTTTTCTTAAGCTTAAAATAAGTAAAACTCACTGTAATTCCATTATAAGTTGTAAAATTCGTACCTTCTTTTTTTGTGTGGCTTTCCTCTTGACTGTGTGGGTAGCAGATGGCCCTTCTGAATCCCAGAAAATGCACAGTTAGCTGACTAGACCAAAACAAGAAGGTTTAAAAATTGAGGGATGTACACAGGAATGACAGGGTTAAAGCAGGATGCTTTCAGTTGGACAAGCTCATGTGAGCTTACTCTGTGATTTTACACTGTGAGAAAAGAACTGAGGGAAAAGTACCCAGGCCCTTCCCCCCTCCCCCAAAAAACTGAGATCTTTGTAGGTGAGGAATGTCAAATCATAATGGCATGTGAGCAGAGTGCAGACCTGGCTTGTATGTATTATATACTGCCTACATGTCCTTGGCTTTTCTTCCGCTACAGGCAGACTGTCTGAAGTCACCCTCCAGCCTTTCAACTCATAATCTACTTCCTGACAATAACTAGCAAAAGACTAACATTGCACTTGGCTCTGCAGTAGACTCCAAACAGCCCAGAGGCACGGCAGGGTCAGCCTGCTGCGAGGCTGTTTGTTTATCTTGGTTGACATTTTCCTTTGTGGAGAATCTGTTCCTTGTTATTCAGTACGTACAGCCCTGCACATATCCTGTTTGACTGTCTTTGGATAAAAGTGGGTATTTTCCCGTGTCAATAAATGTTGTGGTGTGAAGCTGTGAGCTGGACTCTGAGAGAACCACCCCCTGCTGAGTATCTCACTTTTGCATTGAGTTTTCTTTGTTAATCAAGTGCAAAATAAGAAGGCTTTCTGTCTAGCAAAAACCCATCATTAATTTTTCATGTGAGCACTAAAGTCTCGAGCACAATCCTTGAGTGGCTTCAAAGAAAAAGAAATAATAAAACCAAAGAGCTACATTTTCCTTTTCCTCATCTTAGTTATTTGATATTTTAAGAAAACTTTTTAATGCAGAATTACAGTTCTCTCAGCTTCACAGTGACACATTCATTCTGAAAACTACATTTGACCTTCAACTTTGTCCTTCATTAGCAGGATTACACCTAAACACTCCTTCATTTTACTGCAAATGAGACAGATGCAATGCATATTCTGTTCGACCCCAGCATTAGGATTATCCCAAGAGTGGCATTTATGTTCTTGTAGTTCCTTGGTATAAATAAATATCAAAGTAGGAAGACCAATCTGTACTCCACCAGGAATAATAAACTAAAATAATATGGCACTGATTCTGTTTGGGTTGTCTAAATGTGTTTTTATGATTGTATATGTTTATGGCTTTCTCACACAGCCACCATGAATTCCAGGCAATTAAAAAGGACATGAGTTCTGAAGCATTTTAAAAGGGGCTTTGCTTTCCAAATGGTGTGTATTAAAAGTAGAATTTTTTTTTTTGACAGAACTACTGCAAAGTCAACAGTCACACATTTGCCCTGCTCCAAATTTCTTACCCTTCTGCCACCTGAAATAACTAATTAGAATATTTCTGTAAGTTGAGAAGAAAGGCAGGGAAAGATTCCTTTTATGTTTGCACATGTATTAGATGCATTGCTAACTTAAGACTCAGCCTGCAGGCCCCAGGTTTGAAAGTAGCTCAGAGGGAGAATGTAGCAGGTCTTGTATAAGGTGTATCAACCCACTGTACCATCTGCTTTTCCAGGGTGAACCAGTCCATTGTCACCACTCCTATGATGTAGAACAGTCCTGTCCTTGCTGAACACTGTCTTGTGTCCACCCCTACTTGACTGAGAGGTACAGATTTTTCAGTTGTAGGTGTAGAGAAGAACAGTATTTAATTGGATAAATGAGTAACTGTGCTCTAACCTACCTTGAACTGCTTGGTCTGTGTGGTGTCACGAGTTATCCAACAAAGATGTAAAAATACAAGTAGTGAAGAAACAGTACTTTTGATCAGATTGTTAAATATTTTTTGCTTGCTTCTGCTATTTACATCAATTCAAATACAGTATAAAGGGCCAAGAGAAGAAAAATGTCCTTAAAAATTTTCCAATTATGAACTAAGTCCAGGTTCAAGTGGTTATGTTCAAGAAATACTTTGGAAGACTAGGGGAAACTGGATTTGATAGGTACCTCAAACAGGTACACTTTTAAAGGTATAAATGCATTTTTCCTCCCTCTGGTTGAACAATCCCTAACCACATGACTTTATACATGAAAGAAGGTGAATAAATGGAAAAGAGAGAGAGAGATAAAGCTCAATATTTTGCTGCTCCACAAAGTCTCCCACAGCTGTCAGTGGAACAACTTAAGGACTTAGGTGTTAACAGCATAATGTTTCAAAATTTAGCCAGATTTATCATGAAAGGAGAGTTTAGTAAAGTGTATGGCTACAGCAGTCACTCACCTGTTCATAACACATCTGGAACAAGCACCTGAAATCTCTGCAAGGGCTGGAAACATGGCATAGTAGTTTCATAGATGGCACAACCTTTAATACACAATGGATGTAGGCAAACATACATAAAAATTCTGGGCCAAGAGTCCTGAAACTCTTTCAGAGTTCACAAATAGTCATATTTTGTGAGAAAATCACTAAGGATCTCTGCTAGTTTGGTCATAAGGTGTTGCCTCTTCTGCATTGTTCATTGTACCTTTGGTCCATCCACCTGTTACATAAGTATTTTACTGGGTGCACAGTCCTAAAGGGAATTGTTAGCCCATTGTGCTTGGGTGCAGAATGTCAGCTGTTTAGTAGAAATGTATTATCCTGTCATTATTAAACATTTATTTTTTGTAGCACCAAGAGACCAATCCTGTCAGGTTTCCTCTGTTAAATTTTCAGTGAATGATAGTCCCTGACAAGCTGACATGAGTGGGAAAGAGCAGGAATTGACAAAAGCTTCCGGTGTTTCCAGAGGAAGGGTGTAAATCCTGCCCAGGGGACTCTTGTTTAGCAATGAGATCCCTTATGGAGATAAAACAGGCACTCCTGAGATAACCTCTGGCAGCAGTAGGGCAAAGAAAAAAACCCTGATGAGCCAAAAGTGTTTCCAAAGGCAAGAAAAAGCAGTCCCATCCCTCTGGGAAGGTTAGGAGGAAGGAAAAGAAGATAAGCAGAATGGGAGAAGTCCAATTTATTATTTGAAAATTATAGCCCAATTTTCACACGTTTAATCAAACCAAGCTCTGAGCCAGCAAAAGTACCCATCATTAGTGGACACGGCCAAGGTGGCTGTTCAGTACCAGCTGCAGCAGCAGAACCAGCACTGCCCTGGGTAAGAGCTGCACTGCAGGAGCCCAGCTCTCCTCCTTGACTGGCTGGAAAGTCTCTGGCTTGTCTATTACAGCAGGAAATGTTTTTAAATCCGAACAATGCAGGAGATCTGAGGGCAGGCAGCACAGATAATGAAAAGAAAAAAGAACTATTACTTGCAAATGATTGTTGCTTTGTCACTTTTCCTTAATTTCCTCAGTAACTGGTAGAAACCGTTCCTTAGAAAATATTTAGGAAATAACATCCATAACACTATTTCCCTGTCTCCCTTAGCTATTGTTTCCATCCTTTTACTTTTGATGACAGGTGAGTTTCAATTGTAGTCCTTTTTATGAATACTCACTGTATAAATTATGCAGAATAAAGTCTCTAATTTCATAGTAGATTTCAAAGATTCTTTTGTTCTTGTGGTGTGTAACAACTGCATAACGTTTTTATTTAGTTCTTCAAAGGCTTTATGATCAAAATTTTTGTTTTAAATAATACCCATAAAATCCCTACATTCACTTATGAAAGCAGAAGCTGAAAGAATTAAATAAGAAGGGTTAATATTCATTTGATTTGTTTGACTCAGGTAAATAATACTGATGTCCACACTGTAATTTGAAAGGAAGAATGTTTTATGGTTTTTTTACTTAAGTATGGTCCATGACTAAAACCAACTGACCATGAATCAGACCTTCACCTGGTGCAAAGTATTTTTGAAGTTAATGCAGAAAAAGCAATGTACATCAACAATGAAATAAGGTATTATCAAGGCTCTGATTCTGAAAAAAATACCCTTTGTTGATCCACACTGAAATTAGGGAGCTGCATCTAGGGGACAAGGATTCAGCTGTTTGGATTTTAAGGCTCAGAGCTCAAGGTTGTGAAGTAATTTCCTGCATTGTCATTTTCATTTTTGAGCCTTCCTATCTGTTTCTCTTGAATACAATAAAGAAAACTTTCCTCGTTCCACAAAAGACTTTTGGCTATCAAACTTCTTGTCAGACGTTGGTATGGAAGAGGTCTCTCAAAGCCACCAACTCTAATAGTAAATATTTCCCTCCAGTATGTAGAAGACCAGCTTCCAATGAATACTTATTTATGTAACATAAACCAGTTTGATCAGGAGCAGTTGAACAAGGCCCTAGAAAAATCCATTGCTTGATGGCTGGTAAATTAGTAAGGATGCAAAGGTATATATTTGTGTGCCTGGTTAAATCCAGCATAGAGATCTGAACAGCAGGTTCCTGTATTTCTTGCATGAGCTCCCTGACTCTGTGCTGCTCATCACACCAGTGCAGGCGAAGGCTTTGTAAAATCAGTATTTTAGCTCCTACAGGACAGCTTTGGCTTTGAAATTTGGTGCCTTACAATGACAGGCCATTTATTGGAATATACCTAGTTGTCCTGGCTTGCAAGTTCTGCTATTAAAGCCCAAAAAATTAAGATGGCACCAAAACAGAGAAATATCAAATTATCCTGAAAATCATGCAAAGCTTCCTTTTGTACTGAATGACAATTAAAGTGCTGAAGGTCAGCTACAGCCTTCCAGCTCTTAGGTTTGGATTGCTGTGCGTCACAAGCCTTTTCACGAGCACCTGACAAATCTCTCTCATTAATAACAAATGACAATCTCACTGGTGCTACAATGCATGTTACATTTAATCAATTTGCTATTTGTATTCATTATGTACATCTCCTATTTTGAGTCATGAAAAATTGAGAAGTAATTACAACGCGGAAGAGCATCACGGATAACAAATGAGATAAGATGAGAAAAAGTACTAATAATTGGTCAGTTGTTCTTGTCAGTACATTTAAAGTAATTAAGGCAGGAAATGAGATAAGACAATTGTATGCCTTTGAAGTGAAACAGAGCATCAGGATAACCACTGGTATGGTACACTGGTTATGAGAAAAATTCAATCATCTAAACATGTATGGTGGTGAGACAGACTTTAAAGAGTTGTTTAACTACAGCTATTACTTAAAGAAGTCAAAGTATCTTCTCTGACTGAAATCTAATTGTAGTGCCTGTAGCCTGATCCTACTACAAGTCTGCCTGTCAACATCTCCATTATAGCCCCTACTGCCAGGGGCTGCTAACTCATCTTTTTTACATTTCAACAGCCTCAAAGAAGGCAAATAAATTAGTGACTCAGATGTCTATTTCTGTACTAAAAATAGGAAGACACATTAAACTTTTTAATCAAGAGAATACCAAGATGATGACAACTTTTAGGATTTCAACTGCATTTTCTTCTGAACCCCAGGATTACCTTAAAAAATGGAAAGGGAAGAAACCGTGTCTCTGACACAAGAGACAGGCTGATGCAATTTTGCACATTGGTAAGATTTTGAAAAGTGGAACAGCCACACTATCTGCTTTTAATGAACAACTGCTGAGTACTTCTACCTGTTAATTCATAAGGCTTTTACCAAACTCAGTAGTCCACATTCCCTGTTGCTGTGATAGATAAACACAAAAGAACACAGGTCCACCTTAAGAGACAGTGTGCCTAATTGAATCTTGAACAGAACTCTGAGGAACTTACATGTCTACAGCCGATGCAGCAGTCCCAGGAAGTTCTCTGTCCAGCCATTTCCTCTGGGCCCCAGAGATCCATAACTGTCTCCATGTGCCAGCCAGGATCAAACTGAGCAGAATGCTCACATCTGGACCCAACCACTGCAAGTAGGAAGCACCCCAGGGGCTAGTCCCAGTAAGCACCCTGGATTTGGCTTCTTAAAAATGCTATTGTGAACCCCACTTCAAATTAAAATCTCTAACACCTAAGGCAGTACTAAGAAGAGTCTATTGATCACAGGTGTCTGTATGGTAGATCTTCCTAAAAAAAAAAGGCAATTAAAATTAACACATTAAATTCTTAATAACTACTTCTTATGCTTCAGAATTAAAATTCATTCTTATAATCATGCTTTAGGAGAGGTAGTGGCCAGATGTTCCTGCTATGCAGAGTCACAAGTATAAACTTCATGCCATTTATGCTTAAAAGGGTACATTTAAGGTTGGATTCAAACAGAAAACAGAGCAAAGACATAAGAACAGAAAAAAAACATGGCTGACAATCACTTTCTTGAGAAAGAGAACCACAGTGACAAGGGAAGGCAAAAGTGCTGAGGAAGGTGATGACTGAATTGCTGTGACATCTGGAAAGTAGAGTTTGGTCATAAAAAACGGCTCAGCATTAGCAATTATAGTAGCTTTTCTTTGACATTGCCCCTGAAGTTTAGAGGGAATATCATTGATTTCATAATGAAAGCTATTCATTTTGCAAAGGTTTATTGTAGAGTGTCATGAGGAAAGGTATCCTCAAGATAGTAAGGAACATAACGAAAAACCTGCAAAAAAAGGTGTAAAGAATTCTAAATCACTGCATTGCCTAGATATTAATGTAAGTAGGTACTAAATGCACTGGCTGATTAATGCTTCATTCCCCTTAAGGAAAGAGAATTAATAAAACAATATTTAAAGAAATGCAGGAGTGAATAAAACCAGCACTAGCAGCACAGTGATTACATGGGAAACAAGACTCAGTAAAGCTAATGTGCTTTCTCAGGTAGGATTTGGTGTAGAAGTTGACAGCTAAAGCTATTCAAAGAGGCAACACAAAGCCTTCATTACCTTCAAGTAAAACATTTTTTAATCACCTAAGTCCCTTACCGGCTCTGTGTGTGTCTATTCCCCATCAGCAGTGGGGTGCAAAAGTTCTTGGCTTAAGCCATTCTAGAAAAAGAGTTTCAGCTTATCAGAGAGCTTTTTTAAGCTGCCTGTTCAAAAGGATTGCAACTGTTTATTTGTCACCAACCTGCAGTCAACAGAAATGATAGGTTTTTGTGAAATCATAGAAGTATGAGCTTTTTGAAGAACAGACTATACACATATGTCTACTCTGAAGACCCTCTCTGAAGGAGAACAAGGATGTCTGTGTGCTGGATACAGGGCTTTGTAAATAAGGCTCCAGACAGTTCATTGGTATAAACAAAGGAGTAAAGGCAAAGCTAAAAAGAGCAAGTGATATTCAGGGCAGGATTTTCTAGACTGGTGTGAACTTCAGATGGAAATAGAAGAGTTTCTGCCAGGCCAACAAGACCTCGATCCCTGCTCGGTGTCTCAAACTGCTGCATTGGTGCAGAGCCTGCAGCAGCTCTCTGCAGGCACAGCAGTCCCACAGCTTGTAGGGCTCAGGCTGGAGTAGGTATATTTTATATGCAAACACACAACAGATATTTCAGGTATTACAAATATTAGGTGATGTAATTATGTAACTTAGGACCATGCATCCAGGCTCCTAGATTTATTAATATATTGTAGGTCTTGTGTTTATTTAGAAGGAAATTTATATATCAAGCACTCTGAGTAGTGGTATGTACTCAATTGCTATTGACTCACAGCTGGTTGGAAGTAATTATATGATTTCTCAATAAGCATCAGAAGTCAGCCATAAAGTTCAATTATTTTGACATAAGAGATCAATACCAGGAATCTGAAGCAATTATAGGCCCATGATTCAGAAACTGCTTGGCTAAAACTGATCATGTGGTGAATCAGTCCCTGACTACAGCTACAAGTTCAATTGGCTGTGTGGTTCTTCACATCAAAGCACATGTAATCGGTGGTTTATGCTACTAACATAAGCTGTTATTATTTTGCATTTCCAGAGCACACCCCGCACCATGGACAGCATCCTGGACTGAACACATCCTTTCCCAGAGTAATTCTGAATGTAATATTGAAATCTGTCATCATTCATATCTGTGAAAAACCCAAGAGATAACAGTGTACATTCACTTCTTCTTTTAAATCAGCATCAATGTGTTGTCTCTCACATTAAATATTAATCAAACTTCTGAGTCAACAAATTTCATCACTGAAGCAAACAGAAGGCAGTGCTGGGATGCCTACTGTCAGGGCCAGTCCTGAGCAACTGTGCTGGATGCTCTTCTAGAGCACTCCTGCTGCCCTTTCCCTCCCGGAAAGTGGACTGGCAGCAAGCACTGCTGTCACAGCTCAGCTGAGTGGCCAAGTCATTTCCATGAGCTTCCCAGCTCCACACCACGCTGCCTCCTGCCACTATCCCACAGTGACACTGCAAACACCTAAAAGTGTCAATAGTATAGAGGTACCATATCTCTATAATGATTGCCTTGCTCCTAGTGTCTTCTCCCAGTTCCGTTGCTGGAATCAGCAGACAGCTGGCACTAAACACCGGTGGTTTTTCCTGGGTATGATAATGATTTGACATAAAAGATAATGTTAGACACAGTTAGGTACAGATGTGACTTTGGCAGTTCCCCTCCTTTCCCATTTCCTTCTGCTGTCTTTAAAACAAGTCTACAGCAAGCAAAAATGAGCAATGAATCTTGCTGCTCTCTGTTTTGATTTATTTACTAAGTGGTGCTACATCCAAACAGACATTGACTGCAGTTTCATCTGAATGGACCCAAACAGGGTCCACTCTTAGGAAACAGAGATATTTCCACTTCTTCATTCCAGGAATGTGGAGAACAGTTCTGAAGTATAACACATCTTACAATGCAAAAGAAGTAAAGATATGTGTAATTTAGGCTCCAATATTTGTGCTTAGGGTCACAGCCCAGGCTGTTCAGAAATATATTAAATAGAAGATATCACATCTAAAAATTTGAGCAACCATAGGGCTATGCTCAAAATGCATTGCCAACAAAACCCCCCACACCAAACACAAGAAGGATTTATTTTAGTAGGTTCAATAATTCAGATATTGTTCACCTTGGTGATGAACATGTATTGTGTCCTTGTGCAGACAATTAAGAATTTTTCTGTGTCCTTCTACTGGTGACAGTAATAAGAGACCACAGCTTCAAAAAAACAAGACTAAATACTTTCCCTTCCTACTTTCTGTCCTAATTCAAAAGTCACTGTTATTTTAAATGGTTTAACCAATACCAGAATAGCTTAAACACAGGAAAAAAATGTAATGGTGTTGTTTATATTTTTCCCTTACCAACAGTCAAAATCCTCACATTTTATTTGCAAAACTGTAAATTTTGGTGAGCTTTTCTCACCAAAAATAACTCCTGAAAAGCAAGATAATCTCATATCACTGAAAAATGTTAAAGAGCACCCTTCAATTTTCCTGGACAGCTGACCATCAAGAAACCAGAGCTTTCTTTAGAAGCAACCAGAAAGACTGTGTAGACAAACACCTGAGCAGCATAGCCTGTAAGAAAAATATCTTAAATCTTTAAAACATTGCCTGTAATACTGTTTTGTATCCTAAAGAGCTATAAAGGAAATTACTAATTTTACACTAGTATCATCACAATACCAGTGTGGTCTTAATCAGTCATCATAATAGCACATGTCTCGTTTGCAAGTGTGAGTTCATTAACAGGACAGAAACATCCCAGCTTGTTCAGACCATTCAAACTGTGCCTTAAACCAACATGGTTATGTGCTGGTTGTGCTATAGGGACATCTCAGATTAGAGCTTGGCACTGTTATTTTCCCAAAGGCTGCTGCTGAGAGTACACATGCTACTACCCATGTGTAAGTGCAAGGTGACAGAAATGGCTCCTTGTTTCTTTTGAGCACTCCTGAGAGCAATCCTGCTTGGAAACTCCCAGGCTCCTTAAGGCTAAAGCATGCCAGCAACCCAAGGCTAGCCAGTTCCTCAAAGGAATCTCACAGGCTTGGCATTATGTGTGTCCTTTGTCCAGGGACAGAACATTTGTGTCTTGAAACTGGAGCAACCAGCATAACTCGACAGCGCCAAACCAGGTCTCACTGCCTGGACTTCTTCCTGGCCCCTCTGCCACCTGTTTCCATGCCAAGGCTCATCTGCTCCCTGCATGAGGCATTCCAAAACCAAACTCCTTTCTGGCCTTTCCCCAATGAACCACTCACTCCTAAGCTGTCCCTGATCACCGGGGCACAAATAAGGCAGCAGAAATGAGACTCAGACCACCTCTGTTAAAAGGAGGCAACATCTGCCACTTGACACTAGCATACAGGTTTAGTGCTATCCTGTGTTTTCTGCCATGTTTTTTACTGATTCATAAACATTCATATGTGTATTTTATTTGTGGTGGGTTTTTTTTGCCAATTTGTAAAATTTGAGGTGAAATTATTTTACTTTTCCCTTTCTTTGGATCTGTGGAAGGCATCTGTGCCATTCTGCTTCTGTAAGTGCTGACAAATCCATCCCTTGAGAGACAACTAATTAGTCACAGGGAAGTTTAAGTCTTGTTCCTTAAAGAAGGAGGTAATGTCATGGTGGCAAAACCTGTCACCTTTGCCTGACCAACCTGAAGGGAGAAAGACTGTTATTGCACAGTCCAATCCATTTGTGTGACAGGGAAAATGATACTGGCTTGTCTAGGGTAGAAAACGTAATAATCTAAAAATATTCAAAGAGAAATCATCTCCAAGCAGTGCTAACATTTTCAGAGGCAGCTCTCTCTTCCAGTGCCACAAACGAAACAGATTATCAGCAACTAAGTGATGGGCAGTTATTTAATGAGTTAATCTCATTAGGATATTTGAACTCTCAGAAGAGACTCAATCCATTAGATACATGAGGGCTTTGAAATAAGCCTTTCAAAAGGACTATTAGAATATGTTAAAATGTGTTTAATACACTGTGGACTTAACCAGGCTGTCTGGCAGTAGGAAGAGCAAGAGGTCAATGCCATAAGCCCCATAGTCATGGGAGCCAATGGGCCCCAGTCACCCCTAGAGCCCATCAAGTAACATCACTAACAATTTGGATTCTTGTTTCTGAGGTTAACTTTGCCATTCTGTACAATTTCACCTTTCTTTCCAATTTTGAATCCTATGCTTTTA